ATATTTTCGAAGTGTTTGTCGGTTTACGGTAGACAGACGTCGCCATTTTGCCGTCCGGTTGGCGCCAAGCGAGAACATATAGGAACGGAAGTCTGTCCTCCACTTCTTCTTCCATCGTGGACTGATAGGGAAACATCGAGTTAAATCGTTCTTTGCAGTTGCTGATTCTACTTTGTTTGATGACAACGAAGGTGTCGTCCACGCAACATGCCCAAAATTTTGGCTCGTGCTTTTCAAACAGCCGTCTCTCAATTTTTTGTAGTACCATCTCGGCAATGAGCCCAGGGATTGGGGACCCCATTAGGGTGCCTTTTATTTGCTCATAGGTGGTCTCTTCGAAAGTAAATAAACACTTAAAACAGTGCTCCGTGAGTTCTAGGAGGTCTTTAGTTGTAGGCTGACCTTCTCTATCCTCATAATTCTGTCGTAGGTCTCGGATAGTTTAGACAGCAAGGGCCTGTGGTACGGATGTGAAGAGTAAGATGACACCATCCTTTCACCTGGTTCAATTGTGACCGTCTTTATTTTGTCTAGACATTGTGTTGCTGAGTGAAATGTGGTTTGTGAGCTCGCCGTAAGGAACTTCAGCTTATGGAATAGCCAGTTTGCCAGCCCGTATGTAGGTGTGCCTCGGAGGGAGACGATTGGCCGTAGGGGTACTCCTGGCTTGTATATTTTTGGGGAGCCGTAGAACCGTGTCATGGCTGCTTCGGTTGGCTTTGCCGTGTACCAATCCCTAATGGTGATGACATTTTCTTTCTTTAGTTGACTCAGCGTTTTGCTCACTTTGGCAGTAGTGGCTTTAGGCTGGTGGTGTTGCTGACTCTGTAAGGCTCTCGATCATTGAGGAGCGTTAGGATTTTGTTTTGGTAGTCAACTTTTTTGAGCAAAACCGCTCATCAGCCTTGATCGGCATGCAAGATAACAACTTGGGCGTCTGCTTTTAACCCCCTGAAGGTCTTTTGTTCTTCCCTTAGAAGCGAATGGGTTTTTTTGTGTGACGACCAGAGAGGTGTCCTAGTGCCGAAAAAGGTCCTTCGTCTCGTTTGTGACGCTAGTTTGGCGTAGTGCAGACGCCCAAGTAGTTATCATGCTTGCCGATAAAGGCTGATGAACGCTTTTGCTCGAAAAAGTTGACTACCAAAACAAAATCCGAACGCTCCTCAATGATCGAGTCTTACAGAGTCAGAAACACCGCCGGCCTAAAGCCACTACTGTTAAAGTGAGCAAAAAGCTGAGTCAACTAAAGAAAGAAAAGGTTATCACCAGGGACCCAACTGTCGCCGGCACTCATTTTCAACGTCTTAATGTCATTCACATCGGATGCATTCAGCCCGCCCCCTCTATCGAGTGCCTCGTATTTTTTCTACATTGCGGCTTTATGTGCTAGTTACCAAACTGTAGGGTTGCTTATATTTTCTGAAATATGTTCAAAAATACTGTCAGTTAATTCTTAATAACAGGGCTATAAATAGGATTTAACAGGAAGTTTTAGAATCTGTACAGTACTTGTCTAGGTTGCATAGTCTGGACTGTTAGAAAGTGTTTACATTTGCGTAAAATCACCTACCTCTTTCGGCATATGGTGTTAAACCGTCGTCAGTGGGCTTTATTTTATAGAGAGCGTGGAGTTTTCTTTTTCGCTAAGTAGTCTATCGCCTATGTTTATGGACATGCTTTGGTAATTTGAAGGATTTAATTTGATATTTCAGGTAGTTTTCGCGCACAAACCGAGCAAGGATGGCGCAAGGTAAGATGAAAGTGAAAACCGTTGGTGCACAGCTTGCAAAACACAAACAAAGCGGTGGCTCAATAAAGAAGAAGAACAAGCACCAAGTCAAGAAGGGAGCCCGCGTAGTCAAGGCCAAATCAAAAGCTCAGGACGCGAACTTGACCGCAATGAAAAAGAACCTCGAAAAAATGATTAAAAGCAAGGTAGAAACTGAAGTTGCGGCAAAAGTGGCACACACCGAACCTTTGTCTTTGAAATTTATCAAATAAATGTTTACTTTCAAAATTATGCTGTGATCCTACCATCGGTGTTTTCACTCGTCATCTGGAAGGACGTGCATGGATCCGCGCATTAATTGTCTACTTTTTGCACAGATCACGAATCTGAAGCTGAACCTGTGTGCATGCCGGGCATAGTCACCTGGGTCGACATAACAGAATGTAGTTGGCTCGTCGGATACAAATGTCGCTCGGTATGATTTTGTTTCATGAGCAGTGGAACTTATCCTTTGTTGAAATGAAGCTGAATAAAAATAGTGTGTCTTGGCAATCTTACGACTGTTATGGACAACGGGAGAACCTTTATTTAAGCCCTCATGTGGGTTTTGCAACACATGCTATCCGCGAAGTACCTCCCTGCTCCCCTTAGGCATTTTTGATTAGGCCCCGGACTTGGATTGCATTATTAATATGCATTTGCACGAGAATCTTCAACCGTGTACTCAGCACACTTGCAGAAACAGCTAGCTATGCTACAAGCCTAACCCCCTCAAGTATTAACCAGACAAGGCTTTCTTCGTTGTAGCATCGGCTGGTACCAGTGATATTTTCGGCTTGACTGTCGATGTCCGTTGCTTACTTGGCTTTCTTTTCTCAAACGTTAGGGAAACCATAGAACCTAATAATCTCTCTCTAATTGGGAGGATAGGTGACGAACACGAGCTCCCCCTCCGGTAGGCAGATTACGCAGTCTCTACTGCGTTACTAGTAAGTAGCTCCGATCGAAGATTGGTTTTCTGTCTTCGGTATGTTTTTCGCCCAGCGAAGTCAGTGTTGCGTAGATGTGCCGCTTTTCTTCGAATGGCAGTGCGTAGGAGTCCAGCTTCACAGCCATGAAGTGGGTTAGCACTCACAGTAGCTTCGCTCACTCGGATATGTGCCGAACCCTGCTGCGAGACAGCAGCCAATTTCAGAACCGATCGGCCCGCCTCCGGACATTCACACTTTAACTGCACCGACGAAACATTTGACTGCCGTGGACTCCTCTCCATCCAAAAAGATCGAAAGCACATTTTTTCGCTTTACCAGTCAATGGAACGAGAGTATGAGTGCGAAGTGGAACCGTTCGATCACTTACGCCTACAAGTCATTACTAATCATAACGGGTGCGCAGATTACTACTCAAACTTGTTATCACCAGTCCATGGAACGAGAATATGAATGCAGAGTGGAGCCACTAATGCATACAAGTCATCTTTCACATTCTTACAAATCATAATGGGTGGGCAGATTCCTGCTCAAGCTTGTTATCAAAGAACTCTACTGTCGATGCCGGTGGAGCCGCTTCGATCAGTCGCTAGAAGCGTTGACATGGTTCTTCCGCGCGCCATTGGATGCATTTGGTGGTGGGACTGTCTTGCTCATACTACGGTTTTGTGTCATCCAGCTTAGTCATTAATCACTGACCCTACATCTTTCCGATCCTATCCACATGCATGCAAGTAATAGTAGGTAACTCTAATGGTATTAGACAGATTATTTGTTGAATAGCATTACCGACAAAGACACGGGAGACTAGAATAATCATCTCTGGCTTATTAGCCGTCCTCAGTCAGTCACACTCAAGCCTGGGTGATGCACCATCTAAGGCTCGGACCCGTGTCCGTGATTCAATGAGCGAGAGCATCAGGCTTTTTGATCACAGCCGCGACAAGCAAAAGTACTTAAAAGTGACAGGTTATGGGTTCGAGCCTCGGGTGACGCAGTATCGCAAGTGTTAAGGTGATTGGGGTTTAACCCTAACGACTACGATCTTCCAGGTTCGCTTCCTAAGAAGGGGAGAGAAGTCTTGGAAAGCCAGAGTAGTAGGAAGAATATTTTATTTACAAAATGAGTTGGAGAATACTTAGTAGGAAGCTTTAGTCGACCGTGAGGGCCCTGTGAGAGCACAGCGGCCTCGCGTCCGCCCCCGCCAGGGGGCGTAATCCCAAGTGTGGTCCAGCGTCAGTCATCCTGGGCGGCTGCCGAATGCTCGCTTTGTCTCAGTAGCCTTGATGGTGATTGGTTGAACAGCACGAGGATAGACACCGGCGTGGGCGGTCCGT